TGTATATATATATGTATATATATATGTATATATATGTATATATTATGTAAATATATATGTATATATTTATGTATATATATGTATATATAATTTGTATATATATATTTTGTATATATATATGTATATATATATATATAATGTATTGTATATATATATATTTGTATATATATATGTATATATACATGTATGTATATATGTATATATATGTATATATATATGTATATATATGTATATATATATGTATATATATGTATATATATGTATATATATATGTATATGTATATATATATATGTATATATATATGTATATGTATACATGTATATATATGTATATGTATATGTATATATATATGTATATATATATATATGTATATGTATACATGTATATATATGTATATATATATGTATATATATGTATATATATATGTATATATATGTAAATATATATGTACATATATATATGTATATATATGTATATATATATGTATATATATATGTATATATGTTATATATATGTATATATATACATATATATAACATATATATATAATTATATATATACATATATACATATATATATATACATATATATATACATATATATATACATAAATATATATGTATGTATATATATGTATATATATGTATATATATATATGTATATATATATATATATATATATATAATTATATAGTATATATATGTGTGTGTGTATGTGTGTGTGTGTGTGTGTGTGTGATTATGTATATATATGAAAGATGGATTAATGCACTATCCACATTTTTCTCATGAATATTTATAAACTCTGCAATCAGGGTTCGATTCCTCACCGGTATTGTACGTGAATGCAAGACGGCTGCTCCAAACCATTTGTAAACAACTCACTCTAAAGGAGTGTGGAAGTAGGAGATAACAGGGGTCCATAGACATTACCTACTTAGTCATAAATGAGTAAGGATAGCAAAGTTTTACACACACTCCCTGTGGGCACTCAGTATATATGGAAAGAGCAGAACAATTCCCAAATTAGATAACCTGAGGTACATTCTATGAAAGATGGAAGAATGCACTGGCCGCTTTTTTATCATGAGTATTTATACCCTCTTCAATTGGGATTCAACCCCTCGCCGCCGCTGCACGTGAATGCAAGAAATTGAGGGAAATTGAAGAAAATCCGAAAGTGCAACACCGTGAAGTTCAACTTGCCACTTTGACAAGCCAAACATCTCAGACCGTAGTAATTTGTACCAAAACCACCAGTGATGAATTAGACCAGTTAACGCAAATGCAAAGTTGTTTTATCAAGGATTTTACAAATTTCAATGAGGCATTGCCAAGGAAGCCGTGCTGTGCTGTTCATTAAGATTTATCACTCTTTGAGGATAAAATGGCCTTAATGCTTTTGGCGATAACGATCCTATGGATCATTTGGATGACGCAATGAAGCCAGCACGAACTAGTTCCTGCATAATCATCGATCAGCAGGATGATGATTTCCAGAAGGCATTAGTAGATTCAGCCGGCTCCTTTAATGGAGATGAAGAAAAAAAGCCAGAACAAATAGTCTAATTTCCAAAGCAATAGTGCTTGTAGCAAAATTGATCAGCGATATTAGCAAAAAGGAAGTTCAACAAACCGAAGATTATTTGGTAAATGTAAATGAAAACTTCAAATTTTTGGCTGTCACATTCAACTATTTGAACCACATAAAAGTTACTTGAAACCACGTAAATGACTCTGCTTTGGCTCAATTGTGTAGATGGGAGTGTGATGTTGGAACTAATGAACTTTTTCCATTTAATGTGGCTAGAACATATGACGAAATAGCAAAATTAAGATACTAGAAGAACTTTGCTACAAACTTGAGATAAGGAGAGATCACTTGGTCATGAGATATAAACCATATTTTGAAAAGAGACATGCATAGGTGCCAGAAAATCATGGCTAGCTTTTTTTTTTTTTTTTTTTTTTTTTTTTTAGCCAGAAACTATCTCAAGGAATTTTACTTTAATATATCTCCTGTTGTTAAGAAAGAGAAAGATAGCACTGCTAGAGAAATTTTTAATTCAGAGGAGTTGAATGTTATATTTGCTTATTCTAAGATGGAGATGTTTAATAACGTATTCCAGCTTATTTCTCCAAATTGTTTGTCATCGATTCTAAACATGCATATCTTTCAGTGTGTAAATCAAATGACCAAAAGTGGTTATCTTTTATTTGACACAATGATTATTACCAATTTACTTCTCTTCCTCAGGGTTTATCATCATCCCCTAGTATATTTACAAATTTAATGAAGCCTGCTTTAATTTCTGCTGGGACTTAAGGAAATTAGGCATGTTGATTTCGTGTTATACAGATGATTGCATTTTTATTGTTACTTATGCAATGCAAATATTTCATTCATTAGAGCTGACATTTCATGAAAAGAAGTCTGTTCCTTTGTCCACTTAAACAGTAGATTTCTTGGTATTTTGGATCCAGGAAAATGACTTTAATGTTACTTAAAGGGATAAAAATCAATGCATCAAAGATTTTGGTCAGTCACTATTGAGTAGGGAAACTACTAATATATTTATGAAAATTGTCATCCTTTATTGGATTAATAGTATTTTCAAGTATTGCAGTTCCTGAAGCCCTTGTAAGATATAGATATTTGAAAATCGTTGGAAACATGGCCCTTATTAGTGTCATCGGTGATTACATATGAATATATGCTTAGATAGACATGCTCATGAATTGAGCAAATTGTGGATTAATAACATTCAGCTTCAAACCAAATCTTTAATAGATTTTCCTCCTGAAATGGAAATTAGACCTGATGTGTGTCTAACTTGTTGAGACCTCCCAATACCTGCTCGTTGACGTCATGGGAGGGCTTAAAAGACAGGGACTGAGACCCAAGGTAGGGGATCACCCCTACCTTGGGCCTCAGCCCTCGCCTCAACAAATTTTGCTTGATCCATCCTTTTCTTTTTTCCTCTTCCGTATCTTTATTGCCCTTTTCTATCCCATTCCTAAGGTGTAAGAGCTGTGCTGAAAAGATGAAAGGCTGGCTATTTGTCAGTCACGAACAGCATCAGGGAGCCATGGGCACGATATTCCCTTGGTTAATTGCCTTGCCTTTATCCTTTATGGGGACCCTGAGGGATGGACCGTTTCTTTTCCCCATTTTTTTCAGGCTCACCACGGCCAATAATGAAGATTTTTTATCCTTGATAAGGGCATTAATGGATGACCCTTCATCAAGTAGCCCATCTTAATTTGATTTTGATGGTTTTTAAACCCCTGCCCCTACTTTGACCATGGCTCCGACTACTAATACTAATACCCCCTTTTTGGCGCTTAAGAACAACTAACCATTCCAAAACACCCACCCAGGTTATTACTCAACCTCTAGAAAGCACCCCTTCCTCTTCCCCAACATTCTCCTCTTCATCTCCTGCTGCACAGCCCTCGAGAAACAAGTTGGCAAGGTTACCATCCGCACTCGCTCTGATCATTCATGCCTTGTCACGGTTACATCTGAATCCCATGCTCTTGCACTGTCACTGTCTACCCTGACCTCACCTCACTGGCAAACCCATTCTTGCCGAATCTCACCCCTCTCTTAATACTTGTAATGGAACTGTTTCTATTCCCCCAAATGACCTACTTTCCTGCCTTGCTGAATATAATGCAGTGGCAGTACAGTGTTACACTATTCCTCCCAGAGGCCAACGTAAATCCCACGTTAATATTGCCAAGATTAGCTACCATAGACAAGACCTCCTCACATGAGGTTTAAATTAGTGGATTGTCTTATCATATCCAACAATATTGACCCCTTCCTTGTCAATGTCAGAAATGTTGGCGTTTTGGCCACCCAGCCAAACATTGTCGCTCCACAACCCATTGCCCTCTGTGTGCCCAACCTGGTCATGACTGTTCAAATTCCCTGCTCAGTCATGTACATGTGCCAGTTGTGGAGACCCATAATGTGTTTTATAGGAGCTGCCCTGCCTATAAGTTTGAATGTGAGGTAGCAGTCCTCAGATTTAAACTAGGCCTCACTTTACGTGAGGCCAGACAAGAAGCACGATTACGAGGTTTTTCTCTCAACTTATTCCAAAACAGTCCTTTGCTCTGCTCCCCCGCCATCTTCACAAGATATTTCTGCATCTCCCCGGGTATCTCTCCTCAATACCCTAAACCTACGACCTACGTTTACTCACTCTATCCACCAGTCAAATTCATTTTCCATTCTAAATCCAGATACTCTAATGTCTACCACTTCCCCGATACTTACCCCTCCTCCCTACTTTATTTGTCGTACCAGGCAACCTAAACATTTCACTCCACTCTCTCCTACCACATTCTCTCCTACACCTTCCTCTTCTTTTGCTCCTCAGATATCTATCTCTTTTCCTCATAAGAGTACCTTTGTTTCTCAGTCCTCTTTACCCAACTTCCCTCCAGAAACCATTGAAGACATCCAAAACTTCCTAAAAATGACCCAACACTTCGCTCCCTCATCCACCAGCCAATCTCTCTGTTCCTACTCCTACATTTAAAGTATTTGCAGATATCTATCCTCCTCCTGCTTAAATTCCATCCAACCGGCCTTTCTCTTACACCCTCCCACCCTCTCGGCTGCTCCCACTTGAATACTCACACGAATCCCCTCTATCAAAACAGTGTCCTTCTCCAGACCCCTCCCCTCCTGACATTCTTCCTGATACTTCACCAATTTCCCCAGTTCCCCCCCCCCCTCCAGACATTCTTCCTGATACTTCACCAATTTCCCCAGTCCCCCTTTCTCATCCTCTGGATTCCTCTCCTCCTACTTGTCCAACAGCCACCTCTATTCCGTTCCACATACCTCATTCTCTTACCCCCCATCCCCTCCCCCCCCAAAAAAAAATCCTTTCCCACTATCCCTCCCACTCCCTCTTGGACATACAAGTGAATCTCTTTTATCACAATACCCTTCTCCAGACCCCATCTTCCCTATGGACAATACTTCTACTCCTGATCCTTTATCTCAACCCTTAGATGCCTAATCCCCTACTACTAAGATAACCATATTTACCGTTATAACCTATTATCCCTTTTCCTTCCCCAATCACAGATTTAATGCAATTCACTTAATCGTTCTACCTCCTTAACCTTTCCCATTTTACTAATCCCTGCTCTACTTAATTTATTTCCCTCTTTCCCTTTTTGTTACCATACTTTCCTATAACACCCTTTCCCTCCCAATCCCTTGCCCGTTGTTGTCGTGGGGGGTGTCAACAACCCCTTCCACTATCTACTTCCTAAGGTGTAAGAGCCGTGATGAAAGGATGAAAGGCTGGCTTTGTGCAAGTCCTGAATGGCCTGAGGGAGGCATGGGCACGGTATTCCCCTGTTTTGATTGTTTATCCCTTACCCCTCAAGGGGACCCTGAGGGATAGACTGTTTATTTCCCCAACATAGTTCAGGCTTCCTATGGCCAGTAATGAAGATGTAATACCCATATTAGAGACAGTGAGGCTTGCCCCTTCATCAAATAGCCCCACCATTTCAAACTCTCCTGGCTACCCGACCCCAGGCTCTCCTTTGACCACGACTCTGAACACTACAATTACTACCCACTCCTCAGTGCCTACTAGTGCATTATCCACCCAAGTTGAGACTCCTACTTTCCCAACTTCCTCAACTTCATTACCTCAACCCCCACAACCTTCTTCATCAATCACCTCATCTTCCCTTATTACTACCTTACAGCCTTATTCTCCATCTCCATGATACTACCCCCCTCAATAATACCTCCCCCTCAACAATACTCCCTCTTCCACACATCCCCGTCCTTCTACCACCCCCAACTCTACAAATATCTTAAATACTCTATTTAGCCCAGCCAAATGGGACTGACTTTTTGTAATCCCCCCTACAGCTCCTTATTCAGGCAGCACTGTTCTCTTTCAACAATGTCTCCAAAAGCAAGTGGGCAGAGTCCCCTCCCGTACCGACCCAATCATTCTCATTTTGTTGCAGTTATATCTGAAACTGAAGCTATAACATTATCAAATCTAACTGATCTCTTTGGCAACCCCATTCCTGCAGAACCTCATCCAACTGGTAATACTTGTACCAGAACTGTCTCTATCTCCCCAGCAAGCTTCCCTATGGATATCGATTGGTCAGATTGTGGAGAGTACTTACTCGGCTGCCTCAAAGTCCGTGATGTAATATCAATACAGTGTTACTCTATTCCTCCTAGAGGTCATCGAAAGAAACCCACCAATATTGCCAAAATTACTTTCTGTACACATGACCTTCCCTTTCGTATCTACATTGGTGGGCGATCTCTCCCTGTTTGACTATGCTAACCTCCTCCCTGTCAATGTCAAAACTGTTGGTGCTTTGGACATCCTGCCAAACACTGCTGTTCCACAGACTGTTACCCCCAATGTGCCAAACCTGGTCATAACTGATCAAACAATTCTGCGTAAACATGCACATGTGCTAACTGTGGTGGCCCCCATATAGTGTTATATGACCTTAGATGGCTAGCACGTTTATTTTGCTTTTTAACTATTAACCACTGACCATGGTCAAGGAAATCTACTACTACAACTAATTACCATAAGTCAATTAAGAAGTTACAGTACTCTGATGCTGTCATTGCAGTATTTTTGGTTGTGCTATGAGACATTTTGTATTTTTTTATTACATGTGAAGGTCAAACAATAAAATTGGTAGTTTTGAGCAACCACTCTGAAGCTCTGACTGGATGAGTAAAGGATGTAGTCAAATCAGCGATGTGAAATTGTAAAATTAAGTGATTATGCATTAACTGCCCACTCATTCCCAACTGGTATTCTGTATATATTGCAGAAATATATAGTGTGGTTGGCTCAAAACTAATCTTTAAAGACGGATTCATGGAACGACTAGTGGAATACGTTCTTTAATGCCTAAGTTATACAGTCTAAATGCTTGTGAAATTACGATTAACCTTCACACTTTACTAAGTACTTGTTTAATCTTACAATTTTTTCTCTTTCTTTTCAGGGAATTGTTACAAGATATTTTAAGAGAGATTGAATCCCGTGACACAAATCTTAGCTTAATCACCCATGGATTTTCTCCACTTATCATAAGGGCGGTCATTGATATTCTCATTGAGATTATTACCTTCCATGAGGCTTAAACCAAGCAAAACTGCTGTTCTGTAATAATGTAATTTCTGGTATTTTAATGTGTCTTTCCCACAATTTTAAGATATATAACTAATAAATGAATGGCAAAAATGTTATATTCAATATCCTTAAACGTTTTTTCAATGATTGTTTCAAAGAATTTTGAGAGCATGTATCCCATAAAGAGCAATCTACAAATGTATGTTATACCATCACAGGTGTTCAAAAGTATATATATATATAATATATATATATATATATATATATATATATATATATATAATATATGTAATATATGTAAATATATATAGTAAATATATATACGTAATATATA